ATGTGAATATGACTGAAAAATTTCATTTTTTCTGAAAAGGTGGTGTCTATTTACTTGTGACCACTCAGTGTATATTGCTATTAAGGTTTTCAAATGGAAAAATAGTTATTTTTCTTGGGAAAAGAAATGAAACAGGCATCTTTTAGTGACTCATTAAAGTTATATGGATTATCATGAAATGAAAAGGAAACAAGAGGGAATCCTCAATAGCTGCAGCACTTAAATTCTTTAAGGCAGGATTAGAGTAAATTAATCTATGAGACCTTCTTTTTTCTTTTTATTAGCTATATTCAATTTTATTACTCATCAGGATCTCTACCAGCCCACCCTCAAATTGAAGTTTTTTGAGGGAGGATTAGGGTAAATTAATCTTTGAGACCTTGGGTGTGGTCATATATATGTCAAATTGGTCAAGAGATGAATGAGAGAGCTACAAGCTAAAAGTTTGTACTTGAAAAAATGTGTTTGTTTTTAATCATGCACAAAGCTACATAAGGGCTATCTGTGCTCTGGCCACCACGGGTATCGAAACCCGGTTTCTAGTGTTGTATGTTCGCAGACATACCGCTGTGCCACTGGGGGGCATTTGAAAAACAACAACAAATAAAATAAAAATAACAACTCAGAACCCTTCTATGAGCTGCTATGTTGCGGTTAAAAAAGTAGCTAAAATATTTCCAAATAATTAACTAAGATGTTTGTTGGAATGAATGATAATAGGTAATTTATAGATTTGTAATGATGCATGTTTCTCACAAACTATAAATCTTTCATTCCTATTTACATATACAATTAATATATAAAATGCATATGTAATATTTTATGAAAGGATAAATCTTACATATACAAGAAAACTAATTTTTCATGTCTCTTCTATGTATCCTCTACATGATACCATTGTGTCACAGTATTTATTCTATATTGGATATAATATTTAATATGCCAAGACTACCTCTAAACTACATACATGTATATCACAGCCATTTAGTGTGATACAAGGGTGTAAGTTTTATATGTGATAAAAAAGTTGAATATACCACAGATGCATATATTTTGCAAGCATTATAAGAACTATGTTTTGTCAGAAAACATCTTATATGAAAACAATTCAATAAAGTTGGTTACATTAAGATTATTAAACATTAACAGAAGTTTAAAAAGACAGTTCAACTGACATTGACATTATTTCAAGCTTATCATAACAGCAGCAAAACTTTAACAATTACATTTCTCCTGTCATGTTTAAGAATATACATCACACTAACCATGAAGTACTTGTAAATAATGTTGTCATTTTAAAGTAAGGAAAATATAATTTGTTTCATTTCAATAATTCAAACATACTATGAATAACTATGCTAACATATTCTTATATTACATGAGAAATATCATCTGAGTATGTGTGTAACTCACATTCTTAGGCTCATGCATTTCACACAATTTTTTGTATAATAGTCAAACTAAATAATGATATATGTTTTATATCGTCTTTTTAACAATACTGGGTATATACAAAGACATTTAAATTCTCACCTAAAATCAGATTGTTTATTGAAATTTGTGTTAATATATTATAGCTTTAATTATCTTAGTTATAGCCATTTTGATTGCATTAATTCTTACCCTTTGAGAAACTTGTAAGATCGTTTACAAATTTAATAGCAAATAAAAATCTAATTTGAAATTATCAAGTTCTTAAAACCTAAATTTTCAGTTACCATATTTCTTATACACCAGTGATTTTTTTTGGTGTATAAAATTGTCTGTTAGCTATAAAGAAACTATATAAAGATTCCCTACAGCTATGAAAGGTTCATTATCTTATCTACCAGAGTTAATCTTGGATACCAGCAAATAAAATATATTAAAAATATAGTTAGTCACGTACTGCCTTACATGAATATTTAAACTTCTGTACATTCATACCTTTTTTTTTTACATATAATATGATAATATATACAGTATGTACATGTAAAAAGTAAACATATATACATACCGGTATCAGAAGTCCAAAAGATATAAATGTTACTCCAGTAATAAAAGTATCCATGTTGAGAAGACATGTCAGTTTTAAAGCAAAAAAAACTGCGGTAAAACTGGTAGCAGATATCCATACAAGGCAGATCAGTAGAGAAAGGTAAAACCACTTCCTGATAAGAAAATGCTTTAACTGTAGTCTTTTTGATAAATAATAATAATAAATCTTCTTTTCAAGAACGAAGGATGCTGTAAACACTATAGACTTCAATACACGCATAAATAAGTATACCTATTTTACAACATTTATGACAATGTAATTTCTCAATTTGCAAATGGTATGGTATTTCAGGTAACATCCAAATAGAACATTGACAATTATATTCACAAGGAAACATCTGACTATATTATCAAACTTTAAAAAATTAAACCAACTATACACAATTATGCTGTTTTACCCTTGTATTTTCATATGAAATACCATGTCCATGGGGTCATTCATTCCATGTTAACTTTTGGCATGATATTCTCTGTAGTTAAGCATTCAAATAGATTTTACCTATACTGGGTTTACTTGTGTGATTAATAACAAATTAACAATACATCACTAACCTTTTAGATTCTTGGGAACAGACAGGTATGGTAATCCAAAATAAAAATAGGAAAGGTAGGCATATGACCCGAAATATTCTCCTAATAAACCACTGAAATGTTTGTGGTTGTGCTGAACCTTCTGATAGTTGGTTATCTGTAAGCTTTAATAAAAATATATTTGTGAAAAGAGAAAAAATATTATACGTTCAGCTACATTTCAGTTTACAGTTTTCTTGAAGAATTTTTGATAATTACTACTAGAAGAAAGTTAACATTTTCCTACACTGAAAATGTATTTCTGATAGATACTTACCTCTACTCGCATTATTGCTTTTCTTGATGATTACTGCCCTCTATATGCACAAATTTCTGCTCAACATTAACCTTGCGCTCCCACCTACCTTCACGTGTTTACATGTGGTACAGCTATGGAATGTATCATCTAGTCTGCAGTAGAAGGAGGGTCCCACCCCAACCACATCTGTGAAGACTTATGTTGGCTGGTCCAGTTCCAATCAACACCAGCACACTCCCAGGAACTGACATTCAGGTGGCTGTAGGAAGGTAGGTTCCCAGCTGGAGAGGTGAACTGCATATGGTGGATTCATCCAGTCCATAACCAGACAGCATTGGAATTGTACATCAGGTCCACGGTAAGAAGACAGTACACACCAACTACACCACCACCCTATTCTCAACTGAGTGGGATTGAACATATTCAGGAGGAAGTCTCCATGGTCCACCATCCCAGCAGCTAGGAGCTGGTAAGCGGTAAGAACTCTCATATTCCACTAAAGGGGGGGGGGAGCACATTGGGGAATCTGGAGAAATCCATCACTGTAGAAAGTGCAATTGGTGACCGCAGAACCCTATATTGGAAAGCAGGCCAAACCTGAAGTATTCAACCAGAAATGGAGGGATAGACAGCAATCCCCTCCATGTTTTACTTATAATAGTACATGATTTAATATGGTCTGGGATGGGAATACTTATTACACAATATATTGCAAGGATAAACACCCAATTTCATATGTGGGTGTTATAGACCTTAAAGGTCATACAGTGTAGATTTGATGGCTGGTCCAGTGCACATCCAGAACCAGACCCCCTGGGTACTGACATTCAGGAAGAGGCAGGGTGGGGGATCACTAATTGAGAAGTAAACCTGGACAGGCACCACTCACCACAGAGAAGGTAACAAAATGAAGCATAGGGTCACTATAAAGGAAAAGTAAAAACTTACCCACTCATAGTCGAACTATGGAATGCAAGATGGTGAGAGGAGGCAGACGGTATCTAGTTGAGGAGAAGATGGCCAAATGATAATGGGTGACAAAAGTGTGTGGTATGGTCCACATGCTAGCCTGGATGATCTCCTGCAACGGAAATGAACAGCCAGGGATGTGGTGAGGTGTCAAATCTGATGAAAAGAGACCTGGAAAAGATGACAGGAATTGGAGGACAAGGAAATATAAGCCAAACTGATAAGTTGGCAAACCCAACGTGTAAGTGTAATTATAGAGAGGTCACAAAAGGAATAAGGATTTTAGTGGATAAAGAATTGAGACTTAGAATCAAAGAAGGAAGTTGTGTATGCAACATACCACCTGAGAGTCGGGAAAGAACAAAGGATGGGATCAAGATCAGAACTTGAAGATAAATGGAAAATAAAAGGTAAGGAAATCGGCATGAAAGCAAAACTACCCACATGTGCCACTGAGGTATAGGATATGAGATATGTAAAGGGTGAATACATCTGACTGTCATTGACCACAGGCCAAATGGGGCAGGAAATATATCTTCAAGGAAAAGTGGTATAGAGAACAGGAAGAAAAGGGTTTGAATGGCAGAAGAGTAAGGGAATGCAGAATGACATCAAAATTCCAATCTGGTAAGGGAGTGGGGTGAGGAGTTTGGTGGAGATAAAAGGATCGAAACAAGAGGGAGAAAAAGGAAGAAAATACATGGTGGAAGTGGGAAAACCTTATTGTAGAGGACAAGGCCACTCTATAGCCAGCAATGGTCAATACAGAGAGACCATATTAAACAGCCATGTGAAGAAATCAAAATGATAAGGAATACCAGGACAGAAGGGAAGGAAACCTCGTCATAGAGACCAATGGTGAAATATTCGCGACTTCCAAAGGGTGGACAAAATTAGATATAAGGGATACCACATGTTTGGAGATACCAGACCACCTCATAAGGGACCAGACAAAAGCCATGGAAGAAGCCAGAGTGTGTTAACAGCAGGGTGAAACACAGACACATCGAGTAAAAGCCCATCGAAGAGACAGGAAAGACTCCATGGTAAAACATGGAAGATCTAACTGGAATGGTCTGTGACCAGATGCTAGTCTCCAGTCTTCTCGAGGATAATAAACAATTGGGAATAAAATCCAAAAGTAGGGTGAACAATGGGTTCAATAACATCCTGGAAAAGAAGATTCTGAATTACCTTGGAAAGACACTGGCTGGAAAGAGATCTTGAAAAGGGGGCTAATGGAGGAGGGATGAGAAAAAAAAGTGAGAATCCACCTGACAAGACTGTGCCAACAAGGGAACCTGGACAATCTAGCCCCAATGAGACCCATACCCAGTGGATAATCACTGGAACCATTGGCGGCATGACTGTCAGTGGTGAACAATATATTGACTTGTTGCAGAAACTCATGATGAAGGTACAGGTAAGGGAGTCCAGGAGAAAGGTGGAAGACAAGGATGGGAGCAGGAGAAGACTGGGGGAGACGAGTGGTGATGGAGAATATGGAAGTGTGCTGTCGAGCAGCCTCTACACAAAACTCCAATGAATCTTGGAGATCCCCAAAAACAGACGATTGCAGAAAGGTGCCATAGGTAAATCACATAAATATGTGAAGGGTAAATGCACACAAATTAACAGTGTGTCTCAACTCAAAAGATCCCAACAACAAAAGTGTGGAGGGAAAGGGTAAAGGAAGACAAGTGTGTCAACGTGGAGGGAAGGAGTATCCATCAAAAACCCCTCAGGAGAATGATGGAGAGCCTCGAGGAGAGGTAATAAAGGAGGGTGGTGAGGGTCAAATGAAGATGGGAGAACTGGGCCTGGGAGAAACAAATGGATGTATTGGGGTCCGAACCCCAAACTTGAATTAATGATTCCACATGTTGAGAATCAAGGAATGGAGCCGCAGAGCAATGACATGCCAAAGCGTGAGACTTGGAAGTACAGGAAGGACAAAGCATGCATAAATGGATTAGCATGGACCATGATATTGGGAGAATGATAGAAAACCAAATAATCAGAGGAAGGGGTATCTTGCAAAAGGGAAGGGGAGGGATCAAAAGATATAGGTGAAAATGAAAAAATGTAACAAACCTGTGTCACCATATCTAGGAATGCAGATGAAGGCCAAGGAATAACCAGAGTGTAGGTTGAGATTGCACGGCATAGGAAAGAGGTGGAAAAAGGCTGCCAAAATCCTCATAATCCTGAACAGCCTCCCCAGGAATGGGACAACTAGTCAAGATTCAGGAGAACTCACAGGCTGCATGAAAGACTCAAATTTATGGGGGACATGAACTGAAACCTCCACTGCAGATAAAGTCATCTCTGAAGCCATGGTAACAGTAGGTTGTTGAGCTGTAGTATAAATAACAGGTGAAGTTGTGGTAATAGGAAAATGAGAATTAGTGTTAGGAAAGAGTGGGCCACACTATACTCAGTTGAACACTCTTGTTTTTTTATGAAAATTACAATTTGCTGATATTGCTACAAACAAGTTCATAATATTGCTGATTATGTTTTGAATATTATAAAAAGTGTCATTTTCTTTACATTATATTACAATGTTACTAGAGGTAATGAAATTGTTTCTACAAGTATTAATCTGTTGGCAGTCTAATATGGTAAAATACTGAATAAGTTCATACTGTTTACAGATTTTGTTAAACAAGACCGATGTCTGTAGGTTTACTTTCTTCTTAGAATTCTTCTCAAGAAGTCGATAAGCTGTCTTAACGTTGTTAGAACAACGGGTAAAAGTTGTAGTTAGTGGTGAGTTGGCCG